TTCTATTAACACTTTTGACTTTTTATCATTTCCGTTCAAATCTTTCCTATGTTCCTATTTTGCCGTTGTCACCGATTTCCAGTTCGATTTACAATTATGTATGCTTTACAGTGTACGATGTATAATCATTACTTGACCGATCAACGTTCAACAACAACAATATAATCTTATTTTGTTTACATTGCAAGGTTGACTATCAACTCAGATTTCAAACGATAATTTTTAAACTTTATTCGGGGTTTTGTTATTATAACTGTTCGAAATTTTGTATGGTTAAATTAAATGTTAAATTTCCAAGCAAATAAGCCAGGGACAGTATATTATACGTCCCTGAATAAGCATACAGTTTTTGATCTTTTAGCAAAATTCGAGAAGAACATGATCATGCGAACCAGGTTTTTATTGATCCTGTACTGCCATTTCTATATTAGTCTCCAGGCTTTCGAATGGTTACCTGCCTCTAAGTATATCTTACCATTACGAGTGGACAGGCTTTGTAAAGGGAGACAACAACATTTCACTGTCACCTCAAATTGAACCGACAGTGTCCAAAACGTTCCGAAATAGACATCCTACACCGAACGGATATCAATACAAGTTTACGGTTATGTATCTAAACTCTAAGACATACATAATGTACTTAACGTATCTCACTATTTCTTGTAATAAAGAACAAGAGAACATTGTAATATGATAATTACAATAAATTTGATATAAAACAGTGTTCCATTTCTTTATTACATGAGTATCCCTTCTTCGTTTTTTACTTTGTCGAAATACAAGCTCCTAAGAGCTTATTTGTTTGTTTAACCATATACGACACAAAATAAATAATCTTATATTTTGTCTGTCGACTCAAAATATCTTAAAATAACAATATATGCAATAATACGGCGAAATACAAAATAAATAATGTATGGTGATGGTTGTAAGGCTAAATGCCTTCAAAAATACAAACATGAAGTCTCTTTCGTAGATTTTAAAGATCGCTTTAACAACATAGTTTAATATCTAGCGAGAATATTAACACACAATTTACAGATGTGCATGTTTATAGTTCAAGGTGGCGCCATGCATGCCCGACTGTTACGTAAAGCTCCACAGACGCTGACAGAAAGTAAGGAAGAGATGCGTTGCTCACTCCATGATTCATACAGCGCCACCTGTCCGAATTCTGAAGCGCCATCTGCTGGTGTCATGTATTGGCAAACAAAGTAAACAGCCGAGGTTTTATTGTTTTGCACCCGTCGCGGATCTATTTTGGGAAAAGCAGAGAAGAGCGTAGAGAGGAGTGGGGTGTTCTGAAAAACAAAGGTCCGGGACAACAATTCATTACACGTTCAGGATCGGAGAACATTCGGTTCCATTGTGATTGAACTCTAACAAAAATGTTTTGCATATGGCATCGTATACGCCGCATCTTAGCAATCTTCAGTCTATTTGTGAAAAGTGGCATTTTTTCTGCATCTCATATCACACCAAAACTGATAACCGAGCCTTTGGCGTGCTGTATTAAAATTTTCAGTGGCAGTTCTGTTACTAAACCTCAGATTAGAAGAGAATGAAATATCCCTGCTATCAAAAAACTAAACGTTTATTTTCAGATGTATCGGCATGTGTACATGTACCAAAATAAGCTCTACCAGAACAATCAGTAACAATAGATTTGGATATTTCGCGAGGATTAAAATATAGCTTTAGGGCAATACATTTTGTAACTTGAATACGTTAAAATTGAGTTAAACTAACGGCTTGGAAGGGGCGACAGATAGATAGAATGATAATGATCAACGAAACACGTGTACAGGGTTAATACATAGTGATTTGCTATAAATAAGAGACGCAAGCATTGTCAAAGGAAAAGGCAGGGAATGACGAGGGGATAACCACTGACGAGGGGAGAACGACGGACGAGTGGAGAACGACTGACGAGTGGAGAACGACTGACGAGTGGAGAACGACTGACAAGTGGAGAACGACAGACGAAGGGAGAACGACTTACGAGTGGTGAACGACTGACGAGGGGAGAACGTCTGACGAGGGGATAACCACTGAAGAGGGGAGTGACGAGTGGAGAACGACTTACGAGTGGAGAACGTCTGACGAGTGGAGAAGGACAGACGAGGGGAGAACGAATGACGAGGGGAGAACATCTGACGAGGGGATATCCCCTGACGCGGGGAGAACGACTGGCGAGGGGGTAACCACTGACGAGGGGCTAACCGCTGACGAGGGGCTAACAACTGACGAGGGGAAAAGGGGAGAACGACTGGCGAGGGGGTAACCACTGACGAGGGGAACGAGGGGAGAACGAATGACGAGGGGAGAACCCCTGACGAGGGGCTAACAACTGACGAGGGGATATCCCCTGACGCGGGGAGAACGACTGGCGAGGGGGTAACCACTGACGAGGGACTAACCACTGACGAGGGGAGAGCGACTGACGAGGGGAGGACGACTGACGATGACGAGTGGAGAACGCCTGACGAGGGGAGAACATCTGACGAGGGGATATCCCCTGACGCGGGGAGAACGACTGGCGAGGGGATGACCACTGACGAGGGGAGGACCACTGACGAGGGGATATCCCCTGACGCGGGGAGAACGACTGAGGGGGGGAGAACGACGGACGAGGGGTGAACCACTGACGAGGGGGGAACGACTGACGAGGGCAGATCGTCTGGCGAGGTGTAAGCGACTGACCAGGGAATACTCCCTGGCGAAGGGAGAAGGACTGACGAGTGGAGAGATTTGGATATTTCGCGAGGATTAAAATATAGCTTTAGGGCAATACATTTTGTAACTTGAATACGTTAAAATTGAGTTAAACTAACGGCTTGGAAGGGGCGACAGATAGATAGAATGCTAATGATCAACGAAACACGTGTACAGGGTTAATACATAGTGATTTGCTATAAATAAGAGACGCAAGCATTGTCAAAGGAAAAGGCAGGGAATGACGAGGGGATAACTACTGACGAGTGGAGAGATTTGGATATTTCGCGAGGATTAAAATATAGCTTTAGGGCAATACATTTTGTAACTTGAATACGTTAAAATTGAGTTAAACTAACGGCTTGGAAGGGGCGACAGATAGATAGAATGCTAATGATCAACGAAACACGTGTACAGGGGTAATACATAGTGATTTGCTATAAATAAGAGACCCAAGCATTGTCAAAGGAAAAGGCAGGGAATGACGAGGGGATAACGACTGACGAGTGGAGAGATTTGGATATTTCGCGAGGATTAAAATATAGCTTTAGGGCAATACATTTTGTAACTTGAATACGTTAAAATTGAGTTAAACTAACGGCTTGGAAGGGGCGACAGATAGATAGAATGCTAATGATCAACGAAACACGTGTACAGGGGTAATACATAGTGATTTGCTATAAATAAGAGACCCAAGCATTGTCAAAGGAAAAGGCAGGGAATGACGAGGGGATAACCCCTGGCGAAGGGAGAACGACTTACGAGGGGAGAAAGACTGACGAGCGGAGAGATTTGGATATTTCGCGAGGATTAAAATATAGCTTTAGGGCAATACATTTTGTAACTTGAATACGTTAAAATTGAGTTAAACTAACGGCTTGGAAGGGGCGACAGATAGATAGAATGCTAATGATCAACGAAACACGTGTACAGGGTTAATACATAGTGATTTGCTATAAATAAGAGACGCAAGCATTGTCAAAGGAAAAGGCAGGGAATGACGAGGGGATAACCCCTGACGAGGGGATAATCACTGACGATGGGAGAACCACTGACGGGGGGATAACCACTGACAAGGGGCTAACTACCGACGAGGGGCTAACCCCTGACGAGGGGCTAACCCCTGACGAGGGGCTAACCGCTGACGAGGGGCTAACCCCTGACGAGGGGCTAACAACTGACGAGGGGAAAACGACGAACGAGTTGAGAACGTCTGACGACTGGAGAACGACTGACAGGTGGAGAACGACAGAGGAAGGGAGAACGACTTACGAGAGGTGAACGACTGACGAGGTGAGAACGACTGATGAGGGGAGAACGACTCACGAGGGGATAACGACTGACAAGGGGATAACCACTGGCGAGGGGAGAACGACATACGAGGGGAGAACGATTGACGAGTGGATAACCCCTGACGAGGGGCTAACAACTGACGAGGGGATATCCCCTGACGCGGGGAGAACGACTGGCGGGGGGATAACGACTGACAAGGGGAGAACAACGACCGACGAGGGGAGAACGTATGACGAGGGGATAACCACTAACGAGTGGAGAACGTCTGACGAGGGGATAATCACTGACGATGGGAGAACGACTGAGGGGGGGAGAACGACGGACGAAGGGGAAACCACTGACGAGGGGCTAACAACTGACGAGGGGATAATCACTGACGATGGGAGCACGACTGACGCGGGGAGAACGACTGGCGGGGGGATAACGACTGACAAGGGGATAACCACTGCCGAGGGGAGAACGACTAAAGAGTTGAGAACGTCTGCCGAGTGGAGAACGACGAGTGGGGAACGACTGACAAGTGGGGAACGACAGACGAAGGGAGAACGACTTACGAGTGGGGAACGACTGACAAGTGGGGAACGACAGACGAAGGGAGAACGAATTACGAGTGGTGAACGACTGACGAGGGCAGATCGTCTGGCGAGGTGTAAGCGACTGACCAGGGAATACTCCCTGGCGAAGGGAGAACGACTTACGAGTGGGGAACGACTGACAAGTGGGGAACGACAGACGAAGGGAGAACGAATTACGAGTGGTGAACGACTGACGAGGTGAGAACGACTGACGAGAGTACGACTGACGAGTGGTGAACGACTTACGAGGGGTGAACGACTGACGAGGGGCGAACGACTGACGAGGTGAGAACCACTGACGAGTGGAGCACGACAGCCGAGTGGAGAACAACGACTGGCGAGGGGAGAACCACTGGCGAAGGGAGAAGGACTGACGAGTGGAGCACGACTGACGAAGGGCTAAACACTGACGAGGGGCTAACCGCTGACGAGGGGAGAAGGACTGACGAGTGGAGCACGACAGCCGAGTGGAGAACAACTGACAAGTGGAGAAGGACAGACGAGGGGAGAACGCCTGAAGAGGGGAGAACCCCTGACGAGGGGATAATCACTGACGATGGGAGAACCACTGACGAGGTGATAACCACTGACGATGGGAAAACGACTGACGAGGGCAGATCGTCTGGCGAGGTGTAAGCGACTGACCAGGGAATACTCCCTGGCGAAGGGAGAACGACTTACGAGTGGCGAACGACTGACGAGGGCAGATCGTCTGGCGAGGTGTAAGCGACTGACCAGGGAATACTCCCTGGCGAAGGGAGAAGGACTGACGAGTGGAGAATGACTGACGAGGGGAGAACCACTGACGAGGGGAGAACGACTGACGAGTGGATAACGACTGAAGAGGGGAGAACGACTGAAGAGTGGAGAACGACTGACGAAGGGAGAACGACTGATGAGTGGATAACCACTGACGATGGGAGAACGACTGACGAGTGGAGAAAGACTGACGAGGGGATAACCACTGACGAGGGGAGAACCACTGACGAGGGGATATCCACTGACGAGGGGAGAACGACTGGCGAGGGGATAACCACTGACGAGGGGAGAACCACTGACGAGGGGAGAACGACTGACGAGGGGAGAACGACTGACGAAGGGAGAACGACTGACGAGTGGATAACCACTGACGATGGGAGAACGACTGACGAGGAGAGAACAACGACTGACGAGGGGAGAACAACGACTGACGAGGGGTGAACCACTGACGAGGGGAGAACGACTGACGAGTGGAGAACCACTGAAGAGGGGAGAACGACTGAAGAGTGGAGAACGACTGACGAGGGGAGAACAACTGACGAGTGGAGAACCACTGAAGAGGGGAGTGACGAGGGGATAACCACTGACGAGTGGAGAACGACTGACGAGTGGAGAACGACTGACGAGGGGAGAACGACTGACGAGGGGATAACCACTGACGAGGGGATAACCACTGACGACGGCTCTACGACACTTTGCTATGACAGGCCGCATCAAGGGCCGAGAGCAAGAGAAAAATACTTATAAGTATGATACAATATATATAAGTATTGAACCGTTACCAGATATGAATACATTTTGGGTGACAAATAAATAAAATGTCGCCCGTTATGGTGACATGAACATTTATCTGTCATGTCGACTTAACTTTTTTTTATTCACAGATAAATAAAATGTCGCCCATTATGGTGACATGAACATGTATCTGTCACCCAAATTGCATTCATATCGACTGTATACTGCATCTGGTAACAGTTCAATGCTTATGTTTACATTTACATGTATATTGTTTTTTTTGTGTATAGTAACCGAAGCAAAAATACGTTTGAATTTTCCGCTTATCATATCAGTAAGTTCAAATCCCAGAACAGCCGAATTTCCAGAAGAAATAATATAGTCCCTCGTATCATTGCAAACCATACGCACATAAAATAACTTTATTATTTATTTAACATGGTTTTTTTTTGGTTTTTTTTAAAAATAAATTGCATAACTGCTGCTTGTTTAAAATTAAAGCTGTTTTCGCGCATTGATGTATTTGGAAGTGATGCGGCGCTGAACGGACTTGATTGTTTCCACGGAAACGCTTACGTTTCCATCGACTGGAATATTACGTTATTTTCAGAAGCATATATATTCGGAATTTTTTAATTAAAGTGGTCCTTTCAGTAGGTGATAACGATTCAAAGGACATTTCGTTTGAAAAAGATTCCATGTCTTATCGGTCAGAATTGCATCGCTAGCAGACGACGTTCACAGGGGCTCGGTTTCGTGATTTTGAGTAGGCCTAATGGATGACATCACTGAAGAACCACAACACTTAAAGAGGTATTTATACACATTCTAAAACCTTGTCGGTACCCTCGACTTTTACAAAGTTTTATAAATGCTGAATTTTAGTGTTGTGGTTATTCACTGATGCTATGCATAACTCAAAACCTCGCAACCGATCCCCTGTGTGATGACGTTGACAAACTTGGTAATTTCGTATCTAGAATGGCGCTTACAATACTTGTGTGGTACCTACACATCTTATAATAAATTTACTTTGTCATATTTTGTCAAGTTGCTTTATTTTTTGCGATGACCTACATTGCTAACGAACCAAGAAAGTTATCTGACTATAGAAATATCTGGTGGCCATGTATGTGCCTCCACTGACCGAATCACTGTAAATTGCAGGATAAAGTCTTATATACTGGAATTTGGTTTACTAACGAATTATAGGCAAATGCAACACAGATTATAAATATATAAGTATGATACAATACGTATGATACAATACATATAAGTATGATACAAACATATAAGTATGATACAGCAATACATATGAGATTGGTGACAGCCTTTTATTTCGGGGTGTCTCTGTCAAGAAGAATATGAAACGTCTGGATGTGTGTCACAAACCTATGGTGGCTGATATATGACATTTCGTCTTTTCGCTTTGTCGNCCTTAAATGATCGTAGCTGTTAAATAGGATGTTAATAAAAATAACAACCAAACCAACCACCGTTCAGACATGTCACCACGCCTTCACAAAGGCGGGAAACCGATAAACAATATTTACTGGACTTTATACCTGTACCGACGTAAGACACATGATCTCGAGTTTTGATTTTTTTTATCAATCTGCTCGGTAAAGATGATCAGTATTGATCACTGTGTCCTTCAAACTCGCTCATATTCACAACAAAAACAGTTCATTCAATACAAAGGCGAGGACCACGTATAGAACGATCATGCGTGTTTTCCTGAAACTTGCCTATTTTTATGGCGATTGATTGATTGATAGGTTTTACGTCCGCTTCACTACCGAGTAGTTAGGTTATCCAGAAGAAAAGAAAAGAAAATGATTAGAGGGATAAAGTATGGAGTGAAGGGATACAAGAGGGAGACAGGTTAGAAAAGGAGCCGTCTATCCTATTTTTTATTTTTATTTTTTTCTTATGGCGAAGGAGACAAATCTAAATACTGATCCGTGTCTGCCTAACTGCACACTTTGTCATTTTAGTGTTGAGAACAAATCTTAATATGATTGAAAGGTTGAAATGTATAAATGTCAGAGCCCAGGAATCAGTGATATATAGTTATTTTTATTGGTCTTGTTACACCCAAGTACCACTATCCGAGGAAAACTTGCCTCTATTTGAATATAACGCCAGTAAATGGTATTTTAACGAGATATCTTTTACATATATTGGCAGACAAATTAAATGCTCGTCATGTAATTTAGATTTCCCTGGCAACAGACTAAGATCGTTTGGTTTCCAGAACTCATAAAACCTCAGAGTCTTCGCTTACAGTACAGCTCGGGATGGGTGAGAATTCCTTTTTACATTGCACTAACTGTCGAAGGTGAATACATTATTTGAGGAATGACTGTTTTAATATTAGACACCAGGAGAATGCATTCGGTGCTCACACAGACACACGAGGATATAATGTATATGGACCAATCTTAGCTCACATTCACATCTTTGGTCACACAAACCGCGATGATTTGAGATTAAGTAAATTAAATGTCGTGTTTTTACTGAGACAAAGCCACAACTGTAGAAGGCGACAACATGACTTTAATCAAAGGAACAAGCCTCCTCTGTCACTACACCCATAAAATGACACAGTTCCAGAAAACATGCGATTTTGTCATATCATGCAGTATAATTTTCGGTGGACGTCATGAAACATAAAAAAATGGCCATGGTTGAATTTCAGTTGGTTGGGCACTGTGCTGTCCCTGGGATGACACGATAAGTCCTTCACGGGTAGGCCTAGCGCAAAACACACGGCATGTTCTTGTATGATAGTTCATGACCTTACATTATCATGTCGGACACCCGAGTCCAGTTTTCAAGCTCGTCAGGCTGACGATCGGAAATCCCAACAGAGACTGCCATTTTCTCTAACTTTTGTGACCTCGGCGCTGATTTGTCCGCTAAATATAGAAGCCAAACAGACCTATGAACACATTGCTTCCTGATGTTCTTCATAGTGACGCCTCTTCTTGAACTCAAGTTGCTATACTTCACATACATGCTCAGTTTAAACGTGTTCCGACTTAAAATATCCAACCAAATTAAAGGTACCGTTGCTGGTGCATATGGCTTTAGGGACTTGAACACACATTATTGATTGTAAGTCGGCGAGTCAATTCATACTTCTTAAAATATCTCCAAAACACTTTGCCTATATATAATATATATATATATATATATGACGTAAATCGTTGCTGTGTTAAATGTGTTGTTTGTGAAAAACTTTGTGGGCAGTTTCGTTACTGAAAAAAATCAACTTTTAGTGTGTGCAAACTGTAGAAAACACTTACTAACGCTGCACAGAGTACTCGAAAGAGGGCGTTGCAGTATGTACAGATAGATAGACAGACAAATGCAGTCGGCCAAAACAAAATAACTAGTGTCTCCGTTATCATCATCTGAAAAAAAGGGGAAGGTGGGTAGGTAGGTAGGTAGTTTTTGCTATTTTGAAAATTATCTTTGCTATGGTTATATAAAGCAGGGGTTTAAAAGTGCATATCGCTAAATGTCAAAAAAATATTTAGGGTAGGTAGAGCAAGCGGAAATACAAGATTTTTGGCATCACCTAGCACATGGTTTTGCATTTCATGGGGATTTACATTTTTATCTAAAGCTCTTCATTATCCTGTTTGTTATTTTGATATTTAATAGTCCACCCTGTGACTGTATACATTGTATGAAAGGTATCGATACCTGGCCGTGAATCCAGTGGCGGATCCAGAGGTGTTTTTTTGGTCTCCAGGAACCCCCCACCCCCACCCCAACCTGAGAATTTGCTTTAAAAATCATGTATTTTAAAAAAAAAAAACAATTACCCCCACATGAACCCCCCCTGGAAACTTGAAAACCCCCAGAGATAAGTCTCTGGATCCACCACTGCTATCATTTCCATTTCCGAAATAAACTGCAATGAAATAAGATTTAATTTCATGTAAAGTGATTTCTAAATTTACTTACAGTATTTTCTGTGAATATTCGAGTGACATGGAATAAACCCGCGTCTTTCAAGATATCATCGTCCATTCTGTGGCAGAGAAGAAAAGAAGTGATTACTACATGTACTAACTACTGTAAAGAGAAACTTATTATTTTATTACATTTAAAAAAGGGGACGTAACCCATTTCCCTCGTCATCTAGCCAAAATAAAAAAGGGACAACTTTACACCCTCCAACCAATAAAAGTACACGTATATACCTGATTAGGGCGTAACGTCAAGCTCCCCATCTCCAACCAAGGCCCTAGTAGGGAATTCTAACTATGATAAAAAAGACAAAGTTCCGAACATTCATGGAACAGGTGGGGCGGGACGTATTAATAACACATAGGCCTCTATAATCCACAATAAATAATGCACAAATTGTCCTACCTTACTGTATTTTCTTGCTTCAGTCAGCGTCACAAGAAGTCTGGGTATTACGTTATTGACGGCTCACGTGCAACAGGTAAACACAGGTATATCCTCGGTACCGGTTTGTTGTGAGTTGCGTTTGTTCTGAGTAGGATAGAGGTCCGTGCGCCACGAGCTGTTGTATAAAAACTAAAATTCAGCTCTCTGAATTCAATATCAAACTGATTTAACGATAATGTTCCAAATATCTCTAGATGATCTGTTGTAATATGCTTAAAAGGTATATACTATATCCTACCTTACTACAGCCAGTATCACTGTCGTGACGACACGACAAAGTGACAACACGACAAAGCCAACAGAACAAGGCGAACACGACAAAGTGACAACATGAAAATGCGACAACACGACAAAGCGAACTAGACAAAGTGACAACACGACACGACGACAAAGTGACGACACGACAAAGTGACGACACGACACAGTGACGACACGACAAGACGGCAAAGTGACAGGACAACATAGTGACAAGACAACAAAGTGACAACACAACCAAGTGACAACACAACCAAATGACGACACGACAAAGTGACGATACGACAAATTGACGACACGACAAAGAGAAGACACGACAAAATGACGCACGACAAAAAGACGACACGACAAAGTGACAACACGACAAAGTGACGACACGACAAAATGACAAAACGACAAAGTCACGACACGACAAAGTGAAAAGACGACAAAGTGACAAGACGACACGACAAAGTGAATATACGACAAGGCGACAACACGGCAAAGCGATATAAGGCGAGTTTGCAGGTGAAACGATACTAGTAAAATTAATTTATTTCGGAAAGCGTTTCATCAAATAAACAATATTTTTGTAAACTCTCCTTGGAAATGTCAGACTGAATGCCCACTATATATTCGTTGTATCCAATATAAGCCGTCGGAGAAGTCACACAGCGCTATTATCTTTCATGCTTCTATTTTATTTACACTTGATTAAATAAATTTACTGGTGAAACTATGGTTCGGGTATGTGTAAGGCACAGTGTTATCATTGTGTACTAGGCCTATTGGTGAGGATAAGACATTTGTTCTTGTATTAAAATTTATAGAAGTGTGAAGTAAGTTTGTTATTTTATAACGAAACGGGGCAACAGGACCAAATTGTTCTAAAGGTGATAAGCTTAACCATTGATTAACGTCATTGTTCAGACTCTAATAATTTTATCAATACACAAGTTAATTTTGCATGCTATTTTAGGCTACTAACATATCTGCCCTCTGTGAAGTTTTAAGTCAGTGAGTGGTTGTGTTTTAAAGCTGCACATTTTTGTTTTGCAAATAACAAGTGGCCCCAAATCTGATTTGGTTTCGACGATGTCCTGTTAGCAGAAAGACACAGAGGAAAACCATCGATTCTGCTGGGGGCCCCATACAAGTCGCCTGATACAAGCATCACCGAGGGGCAATTATATACGAATATTATAAATCAATTCTATAAAAAAAAATCAATGCATTGACTTCAAAAAAAATATATAGACATTGTGGGAAATGGGAATTGCATATAGTCTATTCTGGTCTACGCAAGATATTACGCTGCAAGAATGAAAAAGTGAGTGTGGAAATTACTATTGTAAGATATTTTGTAACGCTGAAAACTTTCCAAAAATTCAAATTATTAAAAATAAAATAAAGAAAATGATAAGTTCGACAAATAGGTCTATTATTGACATTCGTACGTCAATGTGTTACGGTAAATCTGGCCAATTTCCCCGTTAAAGAGTGGGACCGAATATTAACTCACCTTTAACGACTTACGCGTTATAATGCGGAAATGCGTAGTATATTATATATGTCAAGTTTAAATGGTATCAATGGATGAATTATCTCGTAAGGTTGAACACCGCCAGAAATAACTAGTTCTTTCATTGTGATTTCTTTAATGTCCTCTGAATAAAAACCAGAGCAGGAAGCTCGTCCATCACAGATACACACGATTAAACGTGTACCGTCAAGAAACATGACTTTCCCATACTTTCCTATCAAAATGATAACAGGTGGTTCACAAATAAAAATAAATTGACGGCAGAAGGAATAAGAATGTTCGCGAAGAAGTACAGGATCACTGCACTGGGTCTAGATACATGCTCGTGTGTTTACTGTGCCGCGCAAACGACCTTCACGAGCTCCAAGGTCGAACTCAACATTCTAAACAAGACAGTTGGTGTTTTTCGTGTTTTCTGACATCAGAGAGAAAGAGGGATGGGAACGAGAGTAGATTGGGCGGGGAAGGGGGATGAGGGATCGACTAGTGTGGGGATGGGAAGGATGAGGACGAGAGAGAGATAGAGAGGTGGGGGGGG